AGGGGCTGGCTTTGGGGCCTCACAGAGTCCCCCCCGAAAGTTATTACCCCATTTGACAGGCGGGAACACCACCATCCAAAGTCTGAGGCCCACGGAGAGGGAGTGAAGACGCTCACAGAATCCACCTGCCTCCTGCTGAGCCTGGTTCTGGCTCCAGCTGGCATGGCACGGGGTGGGGGAGGGGGCAGAGCACAGGGTGGGGGAGGGGCAGGGCACCAGGGGTCAGGGGGGGGTGGTCCTAGCGGCCAGAATTGGGGTCTTCATCCACGAGTTCTGGCAGCTCAGTGGCGCCCGGCACTTCTGTTGTTAATCCAGGGAGAGCGAGCCCAACAGGTCATGAGGTGGACAGTGTCGTCTGATGGTCAGGAACTGAAGCCCGCACGGGGCTGTTGTGGGCGAGCCTCCGTGCTCGGGGCCAGGACCGGCTGGATTTACATCTCCCTCTTACCTCCCTTCCTGAGGGCTCTCTGTGCACCGGAGGCCGCAGGCAGGTCAGCGCGGGACAAGCAGCGAGCTCTCTCCGGGAGGACAACGCGGCTCCGTAGTCTCTCTCCAGGGAAAGGGGCCGTCACTCTCAGCCACCATCGTCCCATCGTGGCACAGCCAGGGGCGAGATGTCCCGGGTGCGGTCTCTCCGTGCCCCCAGACTCCAGGCTGACCACAGCGGGCGGAAGGACACCCGCACTTCCCTGGCAGGCTCACGTGGGGCGCACCCTGCCGCCCTGCGCCTCCCGCTCTGCCAGTGGAGCGTCTGCAGTGGCTGGAAAGCTGCGCCCCGTCTCCCTGGACTCACAGGGTCTGCTGTGCTGACGGGGACCGGGGGAGACGCCGGGAAATGGTTTGGAAGGAAAGGCCGGCAGCAGCTGCGAAGGCAGAACCAGCCGTCAGGAGGCGGCCCACTCCCCTCGGCTCCTCCGGCAGCAGCTCGCTTTACACCCCGAAGCGCCATGATCACAGGCTCTTAGCCGCCACCTCCCGGCCTGGCCTCGGAGGAGGGCCAGGATGGCCTCAGAGCCTCGGCCGCCACCTGCCCGCAGGGCCCTCAAAGCACCTGGCTGCTCCGCCCACGGCAGGTCAGCCAGGTCAGTGGACTCTCTCGGGGAGGTTCTAGCTGCTAGACCCTCTGCCCACAGGGGGTCCGAATGCCCAGCCAGAGCCAAGAACCATCCCCTTAAGGGGACCCTTCATGCAAGGGCTTCCCACCTCCGCTGTGATGGGAGCCTCTGGGAGCTTTAACCACCGGAAATCCCGTTTAATGGGCTCGGAGAAGCCTGGACAACAGGAGTTTTGTTTTTAAAATATATTTTTATTGGTTTCAGAGAGAGGAAGGGAGAGCGAGAGGGAGAGGGAGAGGGGGGAGAGGGAGAGGGGGGAGAGAGAGAGAAACATCAGTGATGAGAGAGAATCATTGATTGGTCTCCTCCTGCACTCCCCCACAGGGGATCGAGCCTGCAACCTGGGCCTGCACCCTGACCAGGACTCGAACCCTGACCTCCTGGTTCCTGGTCCACACTAACCACTGAGCCGCACCGGCCAGGCGACAACAGGATTTGGCAAGGCTCCCCGGTGAGTGTGACGTTCAGCCCTGGGTGAACCATTGCTCTAAAGCTTCTATCCTTTTGCCGTAAAGCGAGCCCGGGAGCTCTGGGCCCCCGGCTGGAAGGAGCCCTCAGCCTGGCACGGCGTCTGCAGGCGGGGAAAGGACCTGGGACTCAGCCGGCAGGTGGGCCCCTAGGAACGGCTTCATGTCCTTCAAGCGGAGCCAGAATCCCGGGCTCTGCGGTGCTTTCCACCCGAATGAGCCTTCCGTGCATGTTCTCGTTTGAACGTGGCCGTGGCGGAGCATTTGTGCTTCTTGGAATTTCTAGTTCCTCATCTGTAACCGGCCGAGTGGCGCGCGTGGTTGCTGGGCTCGGGGTTCAGGTCCTTACGGCACACAGTGGACGGTCAGGGGTGGGGGTGGGGGGCTGCAGGGGGCAGGCGCTGGTGTTCTCTCTGCAGAAATGGAGCATCCAGCGCCCTGGCCTGTTTGGCTCAGTGGATAGAGCATCGGCCTGTGGACTGAAGGGTCCCGGGTTTGATTCTGGTCAAAGAGCACGAACCACAGTTGCAGGCTTGATCCCTGGTCCCGGTCCAGGCTAGCGTGGGAGGCAACCAGTCCATGTCTCTATCTCTGTCTCTCCTCTCCCTTCCACTCTCTCTAAAAATATCCTTAGGTGACATTTCCAGAGGGTCCCACGGACGTTACAAATCATGACGTCTGGCTTTGGCATTTGAGCGGCGGGTTGGGAGGGCAGGGCTGCCTGCAGGGCCAGACCAGCTGGGTGGCGCCGGGCAGCCGCAGGAGGCTGGCTCCTCTGGAGGCCGGTGACCTCAGCTTGACCTCCTCGGTGACACCTGGACGCGCCTGGCCGGGCCTGGGCTTTGGCTCTGGAAGGCTCGGTCTCTCTGGGCCTGGGAGGGAGCCCGGATGCGGAGTGAACCAAGCAGGCCCCTGTGTGCAGAGGGATTTCAGAGTCAGCAAGCTCGCCTCCCACTCACCCGCCCGTGGAAGCTCCTGGAGGATGTGCCCCAGCAGCATGAGGATAGAAATCAGGTTAGAAAAACACAGGGTCCGGGAGCGGAGCTGCAACCCCAGGAGAACAGTGAGGGGGGCCCGGGAGTGACCGGGAGGGAAGCAGCATGGAAAGGAGGGCTCAGGCCAGAGCAAGAGAGGCCTCCAAAAAATTAATAATAATAATAATAATAACGGCTCCTAATAAATGTACGAGGAGGAGCCCAGGACTTTGAAGAATTGGAGGGGAGAGGGAGGACTTTGGGATGGGAAGGAGCAGAAAAGGCTGAGAGGGACAGAGCAGGGTGCTGAGGTGCCGGGGAGCAGGACTGGAGGGGGCGGTGGGGCTAAAGCTGGAGCAGGCTTTTCTCCAAAACCTCCCAGCCGAGGAGCTGGCAGGCCCAGCAGCGCCCCCCCCCAGC